ATAATACAGTGCAGATAAACTCCTTTATTGGAATGTGGAAGAGAGCCACAATATACAAAATGTAAATGTCCTGGGCCCACTAACGTTGCATTATTATAATAGGGTACAGTATAATATTAAAATACAAATATATACATTTAACACTGAACAGGTAATCCACCATGATTACAGGTGCATTCTTTATTGAGATATGTTCCAATAGATCTATTTAAAGATTTTAGACTGGAGAAAGATTTGATTGTTTTTGGGAGGTTATTCCATAATTGAGGTGCTATGCAGGAAAGTGAGGATTGAGCCAATTTATTTTTGTACTTTTGTACTAAATTGTAGACTAAAGCAAGTACTAAATCAGGGGTTTTAAGAGGTGGGCACAGCTGGGGAGAGCATTTTATACAGATAGGGAGGCAGCTTCCCAGAAAACCTCTTAAACACAAGGCTGGAAAGATGAAGGCTGTGTCTGGATTCCAGCGACAGCCGGTTTAGTTCTTTTAACATGTCACAATGGTGGGTCGTGTAATCATATTGTAGCACAAAGCATCAGAATGAGTTATACAACGTAGTATGTTTCTGAAGGTGGGTTTGTGGCACAGGTGCATACTCTAAATCCCCATATTTAATGATTGGCATTAGCATTTGTTGTACAATCTGTTTCCTTACTGTGGGGCATAGGCAGGGCACCCAGGTTTGGATAAAGTTTCAATGAGGGCATTCCAATGTGGAGGCCAAAAGATAGATTGATCTTATGCAATGTCCAATTGTTTTTGAGTGACCTGATGCATGCTCAAAACCCTTCTTGTCTGCCACATATTTTTTCCCTAAACTCAAATGCTTCTCTCACCCAAAACACTGTTCACCAGCTTTTCAGCTCAACTAATGGAAATAAAAGTGCATCATGCCATTCTGTGTCATACCCCAGGCTGTATCGTACTTTCTGCTATCACAATGTACAGACATTTTGTCTGTTACCCAGTTGGATGCCAAAAAGATTGCGGTAAGACCAAATACAAAACTCATCACAGAGCAAACAGAAAAATTACTGTTGTGCAACTTGAGGCACATCTCAATTTGGACTTTGAAAAGTACCATTTGGGGCACAGTAACTAGAGAAATTATGTTTCCACAGCTATCCCAGAAGTCCACTGCTTGGCATGCAAATGAGCACAGACAGGCATTGTGTGCTAGACTTCACCGTGCAGGTACCCACTAGAGAGGCAGGTACATTGAAATGCCTAATAAAGCAATGCATCTCTGAATAACAACACTTACTGACATAGCAGCAATGCCCTTTTTCACAATTGTGCAAACTTTAAAGGGGTCATGCCTCGGGACATGATTGTCCATCATGTATAAGAAATATGCTGCCATGCTCTGATGCTGCTAGTCTTAAATCAGAGATACTATGATAGAATGTTGAAACTTACTAAACAACCAGAACTAATTTTTTTCTTCAGCTAAAACATACAATGAAAGGTTTGATAAAGGTTACAGGCGGAGATAAAGGTCATGATGATAGCAGATGCGTTGTATTAAGAGTCCAGCAATCAATGCTGTCCTGTTGGGTCACAGGCTAAAACAATCACTGCAGAGGTAACACAGGAAAATTAACCTTTATTTCCAATCACAATTTCTCCATCAATTATCTTATGTTCTTACAAACAGCCTCCAGTGAACAATGACTGTAAACGCGACAGGCAGCTACTTAGCCACAATGTGGAGAAACTTGCTTTCATTAAAATGAACCACCCATGTGTTAAGTCCATGTGAAATACTTGATGATCTCTTATGATTTTGTGTTATCCTTGTAGTAGCTCTTACTGAGTTTGCAGCTGGTAGAGTGTGATTAGTTTTAACACAATATGATAAAAGCCTCTCATCCTTAGGTATTTCATTGCATGGGAACATCCGGTTCTTGAAAGATTATATAGCACAATAGCTAGCTACTTATTTTAAATCACTTGGTATCTAGGCTATATTTTGTATCATTTTAAACACCAGCAGAAATGGCCTCAGAATTAAATATCCTTTGTTAAAGTATTTTATTTTTATTTTAGAGCTGCAACCCATTTGGAAGTCAGCAGCCTAGATTTACACCATTTTATATATATACACAGTATCTCACAAAAGTAGTACACACCTCACATTTTTGTAAATATTTTATTATATCTTTTCATGTGACAACACTGAAGAAATTACACTCTGCTACAATGTAAAGTAGTAAGTGTACAGCCTGTATAATGTAAATTTGCTGTCCCCTCAAAATAACTCAACAAACAGCCATTGATGTCTAAACCGTTGGCAACAAAAGTGAGTACACACCTAAGTGGAAATGTCCAAATTGGGCCCAAAGTGTCAATATTTTGTCTGGCCACCATTATTTTCCAGCACTGCGTTAACCCTCACGGGCATGGAGTTCACCAGAGCTTCACAGGTTGCCACTGGAGTCCTCTTCTACTTCATGACAACATCACGGAGCTGGTGGATGTTAGAGACCTTGCGCTTCCCCACCTTCCGTTTGAGGATGCACCACAGATGCTCAATAGGGTTTAGGTCTGGAGACATGCTTGGCCAGTCCATCCCCTTTACCTTCAGCTTCTTTAGCAAGGCAGTGGTCGTTTTGGAGGTGTGTTTGGGGTCATTATCATGTTGGAATACTACCCATGTTGAACTGTAGCTTTCTAGTGCCGGCAGCACTCATGCAGGCCCAGACCATGACACTCCCACCACCATGCTGAGCACTGACAGGCTGACCCCCCTATCCCTTCAACCTCTGCTGCAATGCTGGTAGCGTCATATGTCTTTTCCCAAAGATAACCTGTGGATATGATGCTGAACAAGTGCACTCAACTTCTTTGGTTGACCATGGGCGAGTCCTGTTCTGAGTGGAACCTGTCCTGTGAAACCGCTGTATGGTCTTGCCCACTGTGCTGCAGCTCAGTTTCAGAATCATAGAAATAGGGCCCCGGTGCGAAAATTGCCCTGGGCACCATCCCGCCCCCAACCTCCCTTACGTCTATTGTCCTCCTCCCACATATATATATATATATATATATATACACACACACACACACATACACTCAGATACAGACACACATACCTTTCCCTGTGGTCCATTGGTGGCTCAGGCTGATGGGAGTCAGAATCCGACTCTGACGCCCTCTCCTTCCTCCCACGCGGCTCCCAGTAGTTGCTGGGAGGAAGTGACCGGGGCAGTCACCTCCTGCCAGCTTAGTCTGACTTCATCATAGGGGGCCCGGTCGCGCTGTTAAAGCGGTGACTGGGCCCTTTGGAATTACATAGCATCAGGTGGCCCTAATAGGGGAGGGAAGGAAGGCTTTTACACAGGGAGAGGAGTGGGAGGGATGAGGTAGGCTTTGCCACAGGAGGAAGAGTGGTGGAGGGAGGTTTTGCCACAGGGAGAGGAAAAGGATTTGCCACTGGGAGAGGCGTGAGGCTTTTACATGGAGGGGAGGGGGAAGAGCTTTGATACAGGGAGGGAAGGAGGGGGTGAGACCCAAGTTGGGATTGGGGAGGAGAGACACCTGAAATAGATTAGAACCGAGGCTTCTCTAAGAGAAGCCTCTGATTGGACAATTCTCTGTGAAGGGACTGAAAGTCATTTCCTGTGAAAAAGGGAAGGGCTTACAAAGGCCACAGCTTTTGCAAGCCATTTTAGACTGTACCCCTAATAAATACATACATAAAAATATACATGCATTTCTTCTTTGGAGGTATATCTACTAAACTGTTTTTTTCTATTATCGCCAAGCGTCAAGTTTTCCTTTAATTCTACCACAAACGCATTGCATCTCAAAAAAGCTTTGGTTGTTAAGTTTAAAATTCACATTGAGTAACAGAGTTTTAATATTCGTGAATAACCTTGTTTGTATTTTCCAAGTCAAATCTATTCAAATTAGTGATATTCATTATTAACTGGTGCTGTTCAGATACCTAAAACATTGTTTTCCAAACTGTGCCACCTGTAGTGGCTAGGTAACCCTGCAGCTGTAATGGTGTTTGGGACTGTCCGGGTGATTGGGTCGTCCAGGCAGACCCAGTAATGGAGACACAAACTCAGAATGGGATGAGGATGGCAGCCAGGCACCAGCGGCACTGCAGATACTCACATAGTGCTGAACTAGATCGTCTGGCTGCTGGGGCCTGGGGCCCCCACGCTGACGAAATCTTATCCCATTCCATCAGGGAGCATGGGGGCGCAGCGTCCATGTGCTCCCCCCCTGCAAACATAGACTCAAAGGAATCCATGTTTAAAATGGAATGTGGCAAAAATTTGATTCTTTAAGCTAATTTGCATATGCCCACCCAGAATCCTTTGCGGTAGTAACATCACTACAAATTTGTGATTTCTGTGGGAAAAGCAAGTTTTATGGCTTGACTGGTGTGCAGATTTTTGTTTAAGATTGCATTGACTATAGGGGATAGTAGTAGTTAAACCTCTGGTTTGCTAGTAAAACTGAATTACCATGTTGCAAAAGGATGCATGTCTAAAAAGTGTGTCATCAACATGGAAAGTACTGGCCTAAAACGTCCAAATCACATGTACCGTACATTGGTGACAGACACAAAGTATATAGAACAAATATGTGCAATTTGGCGCTTAGAATATATCTATAATTATAAAGAAAAAGAAAAATGTTAAAAGTGCTACAACTTGTACTATACTACATGTTTTCCCATCTAAACATAAAATATGAAAATTGCTAAACAATGTAATAGTGTACGTACCCCTAAAAAATAAAAAAAAAATTAATATAATGTATATTATACTTCTCCTAAATGCCGTTATGATGCAATTCACAGGTTTAAAAACCATCATAAATGAACAGAACTAAACAGTATTTTGTATTATCCAAGCATTCTTGTGTTTGTTTTATCTGCCTTTTCTCCTGTTATCTTAGCATTTCTGTAAAACAATCTTTGTGTTCTTCGATATTGGTAGCGGAATATTAAATATGGAGACATGAGCATAAAAATCAGAGAAATACTTTCGAAACACCAAGTTTTATTGCACAACACCATGAAGAACAGTTTGGAACCTTTCAATTGGTTTTAATTTTAGACATTTACAGGACAATCTCACAACAACACACTATATAACAAAAATATATGTTATGTAAATATATCTTCACACGTATACAACTTTATTTGGCAGCCTTCACAAGAATCACAAAACATAGCAATAGAAAGAATACTTTGGGTATAGTGCCTGTGTGACTTAACCGTTTAAAACACACAATCCTGGAAGAATTCTAAACGGCAATGGGAAAAAACATCTGCACAAAACATCAAGTATATTAGTGAACAATGTGCTTTTTTTTTTATTTTTGTGTGTGATAAGGTTTAGAGCTCTTCGAAGTCATGGCCAATAGAATTTAGGGGCTCAGGGTGCATAACTCTTCCCATGAACAAGATGGAGCCTAAAACAGAAGGAGAGAATAGATTAGAATGCATCTGGATCACCAACCTTCTTTTTATAAAGTTTACTTTGTGTGCAAAATCTTTCAGAGAGATAATAGGCAATATATTATAAAAATAAAGTGCCAATATAAATAAATTCATATTGCACAAACAGACTTGTACTTTAGGTGAAAAAGTTTGTTGCAGGATAATAAGCAAATATTCAACTCACCAGTTTTTCGATATCTAATGAGGAAGAAGAATGGATGATCAATGATAACCTGAGGATACAGCACTGCCATTCTACTATTGGCAATCATTCCTACAAAGATAGAACACAATACATCAAACATAGTGCAATGGCCCAAACTATTATATGCTCCCTGTATGATTCACCACTAATGAAATTAAGCATCTTAAAATGGACACTCAAGGCACAATAACCAGTTGGTTAGGGTGTCTGGAGTCCGTTCATTACACTATTCAATGGAAAAAAAACAAAAACAAAAAACAAAACTGTTTTTTGAATGGTATGATACACAATGAGGGTCCTGGGCACCAGCAGCTTGGTCCCAGTCTACTGCCATGGCTAATTCTTCTGCATTAGCATGATTAACGCTAGAGGTCAGCGAATGAGTATGCAGCAAATTCATAAAAATTATTATTTTTTTTAAATATCTTTGTTGTTTGCAGTAAATAGAATTTGCTGAATTTATACAGAAATTTGAAAATGAGCACTGTACAGTGTCAATTATGTACAGTGTCTTAGTCAAATCATTGCATATAGAATAAACTAAATGTAAAAAAAAAAATAAAAAAAAACACACACACACCTTTTTTTCAGATGATTTTGGTGTATACAAAAAGTTAAAAAAAATAAATAAAAAAAAACACACACACACCTTTTTTTCAGATGATTTTGGTGTATACAAAAAGTTAAAAAAAAAAAAAAAGTTGTTGGTACAGCAGTCAAATATACTCCCAGGTGGTAGAATATATATATATATATATATATTTTTGCAAGTTGGAGTCTTGATCGAGAGCTGGAGGATTACTCCAACCACTTCAGCATTTAGAAGTGGTTATGTCAATTTTGAAGTGGTCATGGTGGTTGGAGTAACCTTTGAGCTCTCTATCAAGACCCATATTACAAAAATAAATTTTTTGAAGAGCTTATCAATAAAACACCATAAAAACTAAAGAACTGGTTTTAAAAATTATGCATTTAATAGAATGTTTAAAGGGTCAATAAACATTACTCTTTAATAAAATGGAAAAATGAAATGGGGAAATCCTTTCATCTAATTAACTGAGGATAAGCTTTTACGTTGGTTAAGAAGAATATACAGTCTTAGTTTACATGAATTCTATTTTAAGATTATACACAGATGGTATCTTACTCCCATTAGAATTAAAGACAAATTAGGCAAAATTGCTTTAACATTTGTTGGAGATGTTTAAGACACACTGGAATCTAATTCCATATGTGGTGGGAGTGTAAATGATTAGAAGAGATCAAGGATTTGATCTCCATTACTTTAATAGTATGTATAAAACATAACTATCACCTCAACTATTCTTATTTCATCTTGATTTCCAAAACTGTATAATATTTATTTTTTTAATATTCTTTATTTTTGACGTGCATTGTAAAACAAAGATTCCACAATATACTCTGTTGAACAAACAATGAAATAACATTTAGCATTAGGCATGGTATATATAGAATTCATGGGAAAACATGGGACTGGCTGCACTCACCTGAACATGCTTAAATGGGGTGCTGCTGGGGGCCAAGAAGTACAGTAAAAATGAAAATCCAGCGCACTCCCTTATCTACTAAACAGCTACTTTGGTGCTGACAGATTTTGCTAGTTTTATTAAAAACACAATCTACGCTAAAAAAAGTGGAGGTTTAGTTACATTATATGATCATACATTGCATAAGCCTGCCACAACGTCAACATTTTTGGGTGATCAAATAAAGACAAGTAGAGCACAGTGCAGGTTATATACAATGGTTAAGTAGCAAGCATGTAAAATATATGCACTGAGAATAGTCTCCCAAGAGGCCCCCCAGATAAGCTAGCCTTGAGTTTTGCTTGGGTATGGCATGGATTAGTATTCTAGATCATGTGCAGGTGTATAAGGTGGAATGCGGGAAAATCATGCGATCAATGAAAACATTAACAATTTATGAATTTAAGACTTCCCCAGCTCAGCTTCAATTTCAGCCTATGCCTGTCTGGGGCAAGACAGAGTTCAACCACAAGAGTCCCGGTAGCCCATCTGATGGGGGGTTTGAGATCACCTTGGGGTAATGGGGGGGGCAGGCAGGCCTAGTGGGGTCCCCAAGGTTTGTAAGGCCCAGTTTGGTCTGGAGTACACGCTTCTTTGGAGTCCTGGCTTGGGCCTCATTGTATTGCGGGACCTAGGCTAAGTTTCCAGTCGTTTGTGTCGGTGTCGGTCTCCACCTGAATGCGGTCTTGTAGATTCCTGTTTGTGCAGGAGATGTTGCCCCTTATGCTGCCATTTTCGAGCTCTTTGCTGCTTGGGCACCACTAGCCTGTAGTGAGATTGTGAAGGTGCCATCTGAGGTGAGTGGCCACTCTCTTTGTGCTTAGCAGCCTGTTGTTTTCGGAGTGCAAATTTTCTCCAGAAGTCCGCGAATATGCTGTCCAGCTGGGACGCAAGGTCAGGCCTCTCCGGAGGACACGTTGCATCCGCCATGTTATGTGCCTCTGTTATGGAAGTCTGCATGCCTGCTTTCTTCTTCTTCTTCTGTGCTCAAACAGCTGGGTTTGCCTCCAAGGAGCGGGCTGGGGGGGTGGGGGTGGCGGGGTCGAGCTAGGAGGCTAGTGGATACCCGCTGCCAATGCAAGAATGGGGAAATCAGTCACCTCCAGGGAGAGGACCCACACCGGCTACGCTTAAGGTGGTGTGTGTGTAAGAATCTATGGGTTACATTACTCCATAGGTTTGCCATTTGTGTCTACTGAATTGAGTTGTTGGTTTATCATGTGTGTTTTGGCCATCACCTAATAAATGGTGAGAAACATTCTTAAATTCCAAAAATGAATTGTGATGTAATAGGATCTTTTTCAAATTCTATGGTGGCATGACATCTCTGATCCTCTCCATATAATGTTTTCTATAATTGTGTCAGCTGAATTTTATTTATGTGCAAGAAGCATTTATGGTCTGTAAATCAGCATTTATTGGACTGCATTCATTCTAAACAGTTGGTATGTTGGTAGCATGTTGACCAAGTATGGGAATATCATATCAATCGGTCCAATCAAATGTATTTGACTGGACAGGAGATGACGCAGCGTGATGTCGGATGGGGTGCGGAAATGAGCAAGGAGGATTTAATCCAGAATGGGATTCCAGATAAGTTTTAATTAAATAAAGGGGGTGGACTAGGTCAGTGGTGCCCAATAAGGCTTTCAACAACTGTTCACTAATCTTTGAATTATTAAACTAATGAAAGGGTTACGAAAACCCTTTAAGGTCTTTAAATGCAGGCACCTAGAAGTGTATCGGTTATCTTAAGGGGAGTGCATGAGCACAAAATGCGTTATTGCAATTTGTGAGGACTTTCTGCCAGTGTTCATTTTTATTTAGTTATACCTTGGGACATAGGAATCTCAAAAAAAAAAAAAAAAAAAAAAGGTTCTAACAGAGTTAAGGTAGAGGACCGCTCTAAGCCAAGCACCTCACATCAACTTGGCTGGAGAAGGCTTATAACTAACCTGAATTTTCACATTGTATAAAGGGATGTCAATGTGTTCTAGATTATATTATTAGCACTCTTGCCATTTCAGGTGTACCCTGCTAAACACAAACATGTTATATACAAATACATGAACGATTGAACGTTACTTTGAGTTTATTGTATTAATACCTGTGGCAGCAGCAGCTTCAGAACCTTCTTCATTAACCTCAAGGTACGCTTTGTGAACGGCTTTCCCAACATAAAGTTCTTGGTCTTCTGGAAAAGTAAATAAACAGGCATTTTAACACATTCACTCTAGGACAAGATTATTATAACCAATGTTAAAAATCTTTTCAGGTAGCACACTTTACTAAGAGAGTAACAGGCCAACAGACCATATTCCAACTTGTTGCAGGAACTGTGTTGATATGTACAAATTAGTCTTATTAGAGTAACTAGGGTTATCTCAAAGGGAATACTGAACACAAATTCTATTTCCAACATGCATCACAGTTAAGAGCAGAAAAAAAAAAGGAAAGGAATAAAAATAAAATAAATAAAAACCCTAACATCCATCTCTACTCCAAGTCAGCATTCTAAATGGAACCTAGCATGCCCATAAACTGAAATAACTCTTCGAATAACACGGACAGGAGTTATTGGCAGTTCCTACTAGCCTCAATTCAGTTACAAGAGAGCCATTTCTTTTCATGCAATGAATCTACATGATAAACATGATGCTTTTCAATGTTGATTTATTTGTTCACACCATGAAAATCCCTGTAGGATTCCATTAGAGACCGGCAATTGGCTGGGAGATTCTTGGCTCCAGTCTGGTTCTAATATTTAGGAAGCAATTAAGATCCATTGCAAAAAAAACAGCAAGAGTGGGGAATTCACAATAATAGTTGCCTTTTCATTTAGTTTGCAGTTATAACATTATCTATAGAAAGCCTTAAACACATGTTTATCAATCCCAATCATGAGTGTTTTTGTTTAAGAACAATAATACCACATTTTGAAATGGGTAGAGAAGACTGTGTAAATGCATGACCTATTTTTCCCCCCAGATATGCCTACATTTTTGCCATTAACTACTTGCAGATTTTGGGCATCCATTTAACAGTGCTATGGAGTATTTTGGCATTGTACATTTACAAATACATGTTTGTATATTTTATTAACAGGGCAAAGAAAGAACCTGCAACTATGGTTTGAATATTGAGATATATTACACACCTGTGTACAAAATGATTAGCAACACATAGCTAAGTATGAATAAAATAGCGCTAGAATTGTTGCACTCACAGAAAAGAGGGGAGGGTATTAGGCTTTAATAAATTGTCTTATGGTTCATTGCAATACCAGAGTTTTTTTTATTTATTTATTTTTTTCCCCCACAGATCGTGGCCCTGAAGATATCCAGAAATTCATTGGACCATATATTTATATATATATATATATATATATATATATATATATATATATATATATATATATATATATATATATATATATATACACACACATATATACACACACACACACACACACACACACACACACACATATTTTTTTTGTTGTTGTAGATCTGTCTACAATAAATTGACTCCTAATATAGATATATCAAAGTGGTCTGTTCTAAAAAGTGGTGCATAAAAGTAAAAGGGGAGAAGTCTCCACTGGAATCTGCCTGCCTGCTTTTTTTGTTTGTTTATTTGTAGGCATAAAAGGTGCATGTCTCAGTGGTAGCCAGGCAAAATCCATTTGTCTAGGTAAAACGCTGTCTACCATGTCACGTGTGGTGTTCCCCAAGCTTCCATTCTCAGCTCCCTACTATTTACATTATTTATAAATGATCTGCAAATCCTCAAATGTACACATGTATGCAGATGACACAGTAATCTATGCGAGCAAATCCAATCTACCGCAGCTTGAGGCTGTGCTCCAAAACGAGTTTACAGAAGTAGAAAAGTGGATTGCAAAAAACAAACTCTTCCTGAACACACTGACAAAACTGTCACAATGATCTTTGGAACAGTACCTAAATTACACAAATTACACAATCCCCACCTATCCATCAAAACAAATTCAAATGGCACACTGACCGCAATCCACTCTTTCAAATACTTGGGTATGTTGTTAGACCCCAATCAATCTTTTTGCCTCCACATAGAAATATTTGCATCTAAACGTTATGCAAAACTAGGTGCCCTGTACAGAAACAAATCCTGCCTAAGCCCTACAGTAAAGGAAAAGATTGTACTGCAAATGCTGATGCCAATCATTGATTATGGGGATGTAGTATATGCATCTGCACCGCAATCTCACATTAATAAACTCAATACATTGTATAACTCGTTCTGACGATTTGTGCTACAATGTAATTACAGGACCCATCATTGTGACATGCTAAAAGAACTAAACTGGCTGTCGCTGGAATCCAGACGCACCCTTCATCTTTCCAGCCTTGTGTTTAAGTGCTTTTCTGGGAAACAAAATGCTTTCCTCAGCTGTTCCCACTTCCTATAACCTCCGATCCAGAACCAGTACTTTAGTCTACCTCAATACAAAACAATTAAAAAAAAAAAAATAAAAAAAAAATAAATAAAGCAGCCCGATCCTCCTCCTACAGAGCACCACAATTGTGGAACGACCTCCCACACACTTTAAAATCTTCCCTAAGCCTAAAGTCCTTTAAGAGATCCTTCTCTACATACCTCAAAACAGAATGCACCTGTCATGGTTGATTATATATTTCCTACCCGTTCTATGTTAAATTTTGTATTTATTGTGTATTAATATTGTTTTTGTATTTTATTATACCCTAATGTAACAATGCAATGATTTGTGGACCCAGGACATACTTGAAAACGAGAGAAGTCTTAATGTATCTTTCCTGGTAAAATATTTTATAAATAAATAAATATGGGTCCGTTCTTGTGCAAGACATCTTGCTTTATACATCTGCTCTGACTACAAAGTCATATAACCCTTTCAGGACCAACAATATGTAAGAAATGTCACAATAGATTTCCCTACCTTTGCCCTGAAGGTGTTAACTTCGAATATTACATACTTTATGGCATGTGGAAGTCGTGTTCAGAAGTGTAGAAGTCTTTCTAAGTTTGGGCAGATGTACAGGGTAGCAGCACCTTACCAGATATTGCAGAGAGGTCAGCTTGATCACTGAATATCTCCTTGATACCAAGCCGCTGCAAGGTGTCCTTTAGATTAACTACTTCTTCCACTTTGAATCTATAATTCAATAGAGGTTAGAAATACATTATTAATGGTCTTACCAGCTTTGTCAAAGAACACAAACTATTTTAAGGTGAAGTCACAGACAGGTTTAAAAAAAAAACAAAAAAAAAACAAAAAAACAAAAAAACACACCACATATATACATTATATATGTTGAAAGGCCATTTGGCCTGAATTTGTGGGAGGAGTAATGAACCTATATAAACCCTACCCCCCTACTTACCTTTGTCTTGCAAGCCGTTTGTCTCCTTAGTTACCTGCACTTCCGGTCAAGGTTGCTGCCAAATCCTGCCTCTAGTACCCAGTCCCTCATTTACAGCTCCCGTCACCGACCTCCGGGCTCCTTCACCGGCTTCTAAACTGCCTTCATTACTCGTTTTCCGGCTTCCGGTCACGATACCGGCACCTACACGTAAGCACAAACGTGGGAGATGGCGTTCGGCTATTTCCCACGTTCGGGCCTTAAAACGTGGGGATAGGCTCCCTATTATCCATTTTGTTCCTTACGTCGTTCATTTAGCTGCTAGACGCACGAACGCAGAAGATCAGACTCCCCGTTTATCCTCCTTTGTATAAAATATTACTATACCGATCGCTTATACTTACCCTACGTTTGGCGGTTAGGCTGCTTACGAACGGCTTTAATGCGCGTTATTTACTCGTACAGGTTGCAGTTGATTCATATGTTAAATACCGCTCTTGTTCGTTTAGCCGAACGCGGGAGGGATAAGCAGGTATTGCCTATATGTTATGCATATACCCCAGTATGAAACTATACATGACTTTCCTTTTTATATTTAAGTGTATACTCTGTTTTTTTTACCCCTGGATATATCAAAGGCCGTGAGGCACCATTTCCTGACCCACCGTTACATTTAATTATGAACTAATTTCCAGCACTCTGCGGTTGCCACACAAGGGTAACCCTCTTAAAGGAACAGCTGGCCTTTTAACCCCTTTTTTAGAACACTGGGTCACTCAGCAGTAACCCCCCCTGTTTCCTAGGCTCATTTCAAACCAGTAATACGACTAATCTGTTCCTTAAAATATACTATTTCCTGGTCATGGTTACGTTACAGTATCTCTGGTACACACCTACCCATACATTAAACATTTTACACTTGGCACGCCTCAGGCCCACTATCATCTCCTTTTCCCTTACGTTCTGGATCGAGCCAGTTTCCTGCAGAAGCTAATTTATAGCCATATCGAAGTCTACCTGTGCTTTGTCTGAACAAACAGGACTTATACTCAAGGTTAGTATTTACATACACATCACTACGAGAGAACTGGCTCCTAGGGTTAGGGTTCTGGCCTTAGCAGTCTAATTAATACCCGGTCCCGCGAGGTCTACACACCCACCTCATACACGGAGGTTCGGCCCATGACCAAATCATAGTTAGCCACCTTGCTCGCCCTTCTTTTGGGCTATAGCCAGGGCTTCCCAAGTCACGGCCACACGTTTTGACTCTTTACGGTCACCGAGAGGCCTACACCCTGCCACCACGTGCATGTGGCCACAAAATCCCCTCGGGCCAAATCATAGGTAGACCCTCTCTCCGCCACTTGGCACTAGGAGGACCTCACCTGTCACTTAGCTAGTGCAGAGGCGAAAAGTTTACCTAGACCAACAGGCCAGTTCTCCGGAGGTCTCACCTTTACCTCCTCTTCACCCTACTCATTCAAATCATTATTCTCTTTCAGATGTCACAAAAGCAGATCACCAATCTACCATTGGGCAACATTGCCGCGTGCCAATCAGGCCTGGGTGTCAGGGAAAATCCCTCACCCCTTTTACCCACAGGTCCCTGAGATACTGGACCATTCCAAAAATCTGAGCGGAGCTCAGAAGCAGGGGTATCCCCTTTCCTGCCATGGCCAGAAAGGCCGAACTACAGTTGCAAGAAAAAGTATGTGAACCCTTTAGAATGATATGGATTTCTGCACAAATTGATCATAAAATGTGATCTGATCATCATCTAAGTCACAACAATGGACAATCACAGTCTGCTTAAACTAACAACACACAAAGAATGAAATGTTACCGTGTTTTTATTGAACACACCATGTAAACATTCACAGTGCAGGTGGAAAAAGTATGAACCCTTGGAACCCTGACCTCAACCCGATTGAGATGCTGTGGCATGACCTCAAGAAAGCGATTCACACCAGACATCCCAAGAATATTGCTGAACTGAAAAGAAAAAGTTCTGTAAAGAGGAATGGTCAAGAATTACTCCTGACCGTTGTGCATGTCTGATCTGCAACTACAGAAAACATTTGGTTGAAGTTATTGCTGCCAAAGGAGGTTCAACCAGTTATTAAATCCAAGGGTTCACATACTTTTTCCACCTGCACTGTGAATGTTTACATGGTGTGTTCAATAAAAACATGGCAACATTTCATTCTTTGTGTGTTATTAGTTTAAGCAGACTGTGATTGTCTATTGTTGTGACTTAGATGATGATCAGATCACATTTTATGACCAATTTGTGCAGAAATCCATATCATTCCAAAGTGTTCACATACTTTTTCTTGCAACTGTATATAGGCTCATGACCACTCAGGCCAACATTCCCAGGCCAGGCTGTAGTTCACAAATCCTGCCAGCTCACACTTCGTATGCCACACGAGACACCCTGGCTGCTATGCTCACCAACCTCCAAACAATCAATCACAGACTAGCGAAAGGTCTTGGTGCCTGTTCATATATTTTATTAAGTATTATATTTATAACTTCTTTAACAGATGGAATAGTTGTAGACTTTCAGTAGCATGGTATAATTGTTGTTGAGGCAACCAAGACATGACCTATTATGATTTTGTTTATCTTGCCAGCAGTGTCGGGTAAATATTATTTAATTTTATTATTATTATTTTTTTTTTTTTTAAATAGTTCCAATTCAGGTTTAAATTCAACTAAAGTTGGATCTGTTTGAGAAGTATCCCTTTGGAGATCCCTTTCCAAAAGTTCCAAAGCTTTGTACTTTTCCACCATATATGCGATAGCTCCAAGAGCACCACATCCGCTCTTCTAAATAGTTTTCAAGTAAAAATGCGTTTGAAGATTTTACAAGTCAGTTATGTATTTTCACTTTCATGCAATTCTTCAAAACTTACAGAGTTACACAGCACATAACTCCTTAAAAACAAGCTTCCACTTTCTGAACATGGCCAAAGAGGATTAAGGTAAGCAGGAGTTATCCCTAGCAGTAGAGCTTTTCATTTCTCAGTGGAAATTATCTAAACTCTACATTTCATATGCACGTACTTGAAGTCAGTAGCCATAAATATTTATAACTTTATTTAATGCTATGATAAAATTTGATGATGCTTCTGCATCTCAATCAAAACCTGCTCCATTGAAAATAGAAGTTAATCTTGTGATTCTAAATAAGGAAATTACAGAATCACAACATCAAATTCCAAAATTTCTATTGCACAAACCCCTCTAGATCGTTATGATATGAAGGAAAGCGAGGTAAAAATTTTACTACTAGGCAGTGAATTGCTTTTTAAATGTATTTATTCAGACATTGTTATATATGGAATTCAGCAGAGAAATGCTAATCAAAATGAAATATGAATTATGCAGCCTACAACATAGATCATCAAGATTATTAAAGTTGCTATATATACACGGTAAAAATTTATGAAAAAAAAATTAAAAATAAAATATACTGCTGGTTTATAGGACGACATTGAAATTGCATTCTTGTGGGATAGTTATCGGCTTTATGATTCTCAATTTGACTGCAGTCATATGATCAGTATCCAGCAGTTTGCAAAGATGAAAATGTGCACAACCAAAGGGTTTATTTTATAGCAATTAAAATATATTTATGTTATTTTTTTTAAATCTAGGACATTTAGATTGTACATAAAATGGACAAAGAATCCCACCAAACAATCAAGATCCTGTAATGTTCAAAGCAAATGGAATGACATCTTTAGCAAGTATTCCATCTTTGGTATAACAGGGTTTTTTGGAGATGAGCTCAAGGCTACAGTCCCCAATATTAGAGATATTGTTACACGGTAAATTTTGCAGAGGAAAACGCCAAGCATCACGGTATTCACCCCCAACAGGAGCTTAAGACAGACTTTATGTAGGTCCCTGGACAATTCTTATGTTTTAGTTACCTTGTGCCCATTCTAGGTGCAAGGTGTGTGTAGTGTAATTGTTTAGTGTTACAGGTTTTGTATGCTCTCTGGCCCTGCTGATGCTTGCTACCAACCAGGTGGATTTGGCTGTGGAGCCTGTACAGCGCCATCTGTTGGTACGCTTATGTGCACTACCTGAATAGCAAGACTCCGTAACCTGCATATTCAGGTTTCTGCAGGCTGGGGAGATACTTTTAGAAGTAGGTTATCGTGTTATGAGTTCATGTAGGTTTCCTATATGATTTGGTTATTTGTATTAAACTGAAGTTGTCACAGCAAGTTTAGTGTAATGTGCATATGGGCTAGTCCAGAGTAAATATAAAACGGTTTTCGTTCCATCTGGAATGGTGTGTCCTGGTTTGTTATTCCAAGAACCTAGTAACAGAATCTTCGGACCTGGATCAGTTAAAGAGAGCTAGGCCAGAGAGTCGCAAGTGCCTTTGTAAAGGCAGTAGCTGGTCACAGTGTAGGCAGAGGTACGGATAAGTGCCTGGGAAAAGAATAGAAGAAGCAAATGTAGAGGGGACAATAGCTGCCTGGAAGAAGAGAGCTGCAGCTTAGTCGGGTGATCGAGTTCTTGAGAGACCCCAGTCAAGCTTTAGCGGCTGAGTCTGAAGTTCTCCTGAGTCCCCGTGGCAGCGAGGAAGTGGACATAGAGCTCCCGTACTCTGACAGAGTACCTCTGCTGTCACACATCATAACCACAACAGCTAATTGCAGTCATACTGACAGGAGTGCCTTGTTGCCATACCACAGTAAGTTGTCAAACCCATTTAGTACAGTTTGTCAACTTACTAGAGTTGGATTGGGCAACCACAGCCACAGAAGGAAAGCCTAGTTAGTGTCAGCTGAATTCTATCAACCAAAGAGAGCAGTCCTGTATCATATCTATCAGACATCCAGTTTCTTCTGCAGGAGAATACCGATTAAGCGCAGGCACCTGGGGGAGCCAGATAACACAAACCGTACGAGAAATGGTTTGATAAAATAACACTGGAACTATGTCAGAGCATTCATGGCACCATAACCACTACAACAGTGTGACGTTGCTACAAGAAAGCTACAGCTTGAAAAGTTTTAGTAAACACTGATGTGATCCATTGTAACTGGAGTTTGAGGACATTTTTCTTGAGCATCCAAACTGATTTTCTAGAGGTCAAACTCCCTTGTACCTTTTGGTTTTATTTCTGTGTATGTTACAGTCATTGAGCACATATAATTTGTTTAATGTACTAAAGTAATAAAACATAAATTTTGGCTCAGGGAGAGCTTTTAAAGGGACAATATAGTAACCAGAACAACTACAGCTTATTGGGTTTGTTCTGGTGAGTAGAATCATTACCTTCAGGCTTTTTGCTGTAAGTACTGTCTTTTCAGAGAAAATGCAGTGTTTACATTACAGCCTAGTGATAACTTCAATGGCCACTCCTCAGATAGCTGTTAGAGATCCTTCCTGGGTTATGGCTGCCTAAAATGCATCCAAATATTCAGCATCTCGTCCCTCTGCATGCAGACACTGAACTTTCCTCATAGAGATTCATTGATTCAATGTATCTCTATGAGGACATGCGGATTGGCCAGGGCTGTGTTTGAATCATGCTGGCTCTGCCCCTGATCTGCCTCTTTGTCAGTCTCAGCCAATCATATGGGGAAGCACTGTGATTGGATCAGGCTACCACTTCTGCTGATGTCAGCAAGTAGGTGTAAAGGAAACAGGGACATGTAAGCATCTGCAGATTTGAATTCAGGTAAGATTTTACTATATTTATGGAGGCATGAGGGGACCAAGGTGGCTAGATGGTGGTTTTAACACTATAGGGTCAGGAATACAGGTTTGTGTTCCTCACCCTACATTGCTCCTTTAACTAGAAAGGAAGCTGTAATGGAGGCTTCAAGTGGTGCCTGGAGGAATCAAGGTAATAAGTCATTTCCTTTACAAATGGTTTAATTACTCACAATGGGGAGATACCAGGATATTCCTGGCACCATACCCACTACATTTTGTTATGGTATTTCGTGTCTTCCTTTAACCAGTTAACGCCGTGCTATGCCGTCCTGGCGTTAATGGGCTTAAACGCCTTTACGGCAGCATAGCACGCCACAGCGTTTAAGCCCACCCACGTTTCCCCCATCCCTTCCAAACTGCAGATCACGGCATTTGTATAATTTTTTTAAATGTTTTTTTTTTTTTTTTTAACCCTTTCAGTACTGTTCGCAGCAGCCTAAACTGCGATCAGTACATTTATTTTTTGTGGGTTTTTGAGGGTGGGTAGTAAGGTGTTAGGCAGGTAGGAATTTTGTAATTTCCCCCTTAGATTTTCTTTGATTAATTTTGAGTGGTCCCCCCCTAGAATGGCACGTCACTACTTGGCCGAGGAGGTGTACGCCATTCTGGCAGGCAGTGATAATGACAGTCTGCAAGACAGTGGCACTATTACTGCCTCTGACATTGAGGCTATGACTGACTCCTCTAGTGATGGTGCCCCACCACCAAAAGTGGGATGCTCAGCAAGCCCAATGCCAGATGGAGACTGGGTTCCCCCAAACCTGACCGCCCCAGATATTCCCCCATTTACAGCAACCCCTGGCATCACTGTTATGGTGGGTGCTTGGGAACCCCTAAAATATTTTGATTTGTTCAAGTCAGAGGAAGTATTTCAGTTATTGGTTGAGCAAACCAATATCTGACTGCGAATCTGGGGTCACATTACAATCGGTGTAATATGTGGCACCCCACGGATCTCGCAGAAATGCGCAAATTTAGGGCCCTAACTCTAGTTATGGGCATTGTCAAAAATGGCTACCCCTCTTTTCCCTGGGGTTATGAAGAGGGATCGCTATGAGCAGCTGCTGCGTTTCCTCCACTTCAACGATAACACTGTGCCCCCCAAGAAACGACCCATTGTTTGACAAGCTGTACAAAATTCGACTCCTAATTGAACTCCTGTCAGACAAATTCTCCCAAAATTATGTCCCTGAAGAAAATATTTGTATAGATGAGTCCTTAAAGGACCACTCTAGGCACCCAGACCGCTTCCGCTTAATGAAGTGGTCTGGGTGCCAGGTCCAGCTAGGGTTAACCCATTTTTTCATAAACATAGCAGTTTCAGAGAAACTGCTATGTTTATGAATGGGTTAAGCCTTCCCCTATTTCCTCTAGTGGCTGTCTCATTGACAGCCACTAGAGGCGCTTGCGTGCTTCTCACTGTAATTTTCACAGTGAGAGCACGCCAGCGTCCATAGGAAAGCATTATGAATGCTTTCCTATGTGACCGGCTGAATGCGCGCGCAGCTATTGCCGCGCGTGCGCATTCAGCCGACGGGGAGGATCGGATGAGGAGAGCTCTCCACCCAGCGCTGGAAAAAGGTAAGATTCAACCCCTTTCCCCCTTCCAGAGCCGGGCGGGAGACCCTGAGGGTGGGGGCACCCTCAGGGCACTATAGTGGTCCTTTAATTAAGTTTAAGGGTAGATTACTTTTTAAGCTGTAGATCCCTTGTAAACGGTCCCGTTACGGTGTAAAGTTTTATAAACTGTGTGAATCCAAATCTGAATATACATGGGCATTTCGTATTTATCAGGGGAAGGCTAGCCATTTGACCCACCAGGATGTGCTGATTCTGTGGGTAAATGTGGCAAGATAGTATGGGACCTAATCCTTCCCTTGTTAAATAAGGGATACAGGCTATGGGTTGACAACTATTACACAAGCATAGCGTTATTTAAAACTATTTTGCTTTGAGACTGTAGCCTGTGGCACAGTGCGTAAGAATCGTAGAGGTTTCCCCCAAACCCTGGCAAGAGGTAGACGCAGTAGAGGCTCCCTTTCAACGCTCCGCCAGAATGAGTTGCTTGCCCTTCGCTTCACCGACAGGAAAGATGTGTACATGTCTACAATGCACGACAAAACTTCAGTGCCAGTGTCTGAGAGATGGAACGGAGCAGCTGGAGAAGTCGAAGTGGATTGTAGACTACAGCAAGTTTATGGGGGGAGTAGACTTGGCTTATCAGTGCATACAGCCCTATCTGGTGAACCGGAAGAGTAGGACCTGGTACAAGAAAATTGCAATCTACATAACCCAGATTGCAATTTTCAATGCCTATGTGCTTTATAAAAAGGAAGCCATAGGTAGACCATGCCCATTTCTAGAGTTTATGGTCCAAATTATATTTGCCCAGACCCCAAATCCTAACCCTCCTTTGGAATCAGAAGATGTCCAACAACTTTTCAGCAATCATTTCCCTTCCCGAATCCCCCCCCCCCCACACCCTGTAAAAGGTCACCCCAACGAAAATGCCGTGTTTGCTACAAAAGAGGAGTCTGAAAGGACTCCAGTTATTATTGCCCCTCCTGTCCATCCCTACCTGCCCTCTGCATAACAGACTGTTTCAAAGTCTACCATACATAGCTGAACTACTAAATCACTCTGTATGGTACTTTGGCAGTTTGTTTGCTTGATTTCCCTGGATTCCCTGACCTCGGCTTGTCCTGACTACGCTTCGTTAGCTGCCTGTACCGACCCATTGGCTTGTTTTACCGACTACTCTGACTTCTGGATTCCCCTGACCTTGGCCTGTCCCTGTTTATGCTAGCCATTCTAAAGTGGCTACACCAAACAACTCAAAATACTACATTTGTAGTACTTGAAATGTGCCTTCACAAAAAAAGCAAAAAACTAATCACAGGGTTAATGCTACAGTATCTGAGTCAAAGATCTATCTGCCTCTCTCTGCCTTCAGATCAAAGTGTATGTGGGGGTACTGTACTATTCCTGTGATATACTAAAAACCTGGAAACATTGTACATGTAGGTATCGTTATATTCAGAAGACAGTGTTAAATCAAAATACTGAGGTTTTAGTGCACTAATACCAGGATTATGACATTTCTAGTGAAAATGCAATTTATGTGATTAAAAAGACAAAAATAAAAGTAGAAATTGCTACATGGGCCCATCATTTCTGTTAAAATGGCTAAACCAAACATCTCAAGGTCTGCCATTTGTTGTACTCTGGGTTTCCTACTTTTGAAAATGGTATGCCATAATGGTGGAAATGTTATTACCCAGGCTGCCATGCTCTCTAAATAGCCACACAGGCCCAGCAAATCACTTTGTCAAATTTCCAACTTTGAAATGGACATCTAATATATTTGTCCCTGTGACTTCCCCCCCAAAAAACAGAAAATCCGGTACATGGGGGTACTGTTATATTCAGGAGGCAATGTTTAAAAAAAAAATAAAAATTTGTGAGGCTTTGTTGCAATAACTCACTCATACCAGGAATAGGAAATGTCCTGTGAAAAGAAAGTTCATGTGTGGGAAAAAAAGCACAAAAAACTATTACCGCTATGTGGGCCCTTCTTTTCTGATAAAGTGGTTAGATCAAACATCTTAAAATACACCATTTGAAATACTCTGGGTTGCCTACTTTTGAAAATGGTATGCCATAATAGTGTAAATGTTATTACCCAGGCTGCCATGCTCTCTCAAAGGCAAGATATGTCCAGAAAAATCTTTGCCAATTTTGAATGTGTAAAACCAAAAATGGACAAGCGTATATTTCACCCTGTAACTATCCAAAACCCCCATAAAACCTATACATGGGGGGGTACTGTGGCGCTCATGAGACATCACTGAACTAGGAGTGTTTCAGGGCAGTAAACTATATACTGAAAATAATATCAGTAAAAGTACAGTCTGTATGTGGAAAATGCAAAAAAATAAAAAATAAAATAAAAATAAAAAGCAACAAAAAACAAAACGAACACTAACTTTGGCTAGCGTTTATGCCCAAGTGGCTACTACAAAAGACTGGGCATACCCCATTTTGAATACCCTGGGATGTCTACTTTTTCAAATGTTATGCCTTGATGGGGTAACTTACATTTCTTGGCTGCCATACAGTCTCAAAGGCTACCTAGGCCCAGCAAAGCAATCTGTGAAATTTCGATGTAAAAAATAAATAGACAAGACGTATATTTGACCCTGTAACTTTCCAAAACACCATAAAACCTATACATGGGGGTTACTGGTTTTACTTATGAGACATTTCTGAATACAATTATGTATGTTTTATTGCAGTAAAACCAAACAGTATTGTGAAATTATCAGTTAAATTGACATGCAGAAATTGAAAAATATCAACATTTCTTAAACTTTTTTTAGATGTTATTTATATAAAATGGAGTTCTATATATGAATGTTTGATATGGAATGAAAGCCCTGTTTCCCCTGAACAAACTGATATATAATAAGTGTGGGTGCATTTAACATGAAAGAGGTAAATTATAGTTGAACAGAGTCAAATTCTGTGGTTGGTTTACATTTTGTTTTGATCACAACTTGTACATTTGGCTCCATCCTTAAGGGGTTAAGGTCCAGCAAAGTGCAATATTTTCAATACAACAAATCTTTATTTTGCTTACATTCCACTGAACAGAGATTAAAGAATTATTAGGACTTTTCTAGAACTAAAAGAGAAACTACAGTGGTGCTTTATGCAGTCACTAAACTGTCAACAGCAGAAACATCTGTCATTGACTGCTTAAACAATTTACAGAGGAGGAGTCTGCTGGGAAGCAATCTGTAGGAGAAAGGCTGCCAAAACTATACTGTGCGTTCGGACTGTTCTTTCTTAAAAATCTCTGCTAAGCACAGCGGTCATTCCACAGAGTCTCCAGTTAGTTGGGTACAAAATATCCTTTGCGGTCTAATGTGTAGTGATCATTATTTAGCTCCAATGCAAAAATGCAGCAAAGCGTTACAATTAACATGGTTTCGGTAATCTTTATACTGAAAGACTGCGATAGATAGCGATATAAATAGATAAGATGTATGTCTATTCATTTACCCCCTTCTTTATATCACAAGATAGACCTTAGAAAAAAGTTGATCTATATCTCTCTATCATAAAACAAACAATGATTTAACAACCAAGGTGGGCCGAAGCACCCATCTGCAGAAAAAACGGAAATACAGAAAAGGGAGGCATTCAGTGCTCGTTATTGAATGACAGTGTATAAATCAATTAAAAAAAAATATATTATATTATATATAAAAATGATCGTTTTGGAACATGAGAGTTAGCTCACCTGTCACAATATGTTGAACATACCTTGGCAAGAAAACTTCCACTTTTTGCTTTTTCACAGAATTAGCCCATTCTTCTATCAGAGATGTTTTGACCAAAGGCTCCAGGGTGGCCAGTGGTACCTCTTGCCTTGACAGCATGAGCATAAGACTGATTTCATCTCCTTCATATGGGATTTCCAAGACTTGATAAACTCCTCCTGCCTCATTAGATCCATCAGTGAACTCCCCTAAGGAAAAATACATTAGGAGATTGCTACAGAAACAATGGAATACGTTAGCATATAGCAATTTACAAATATACAATAATGATCTGGAAAGTAAGGGGTTTAAATACGGTCAGATCATAGTACAATGTAGCTTTGATTGTCCCACAAACAAAATGATTGATAAAAGTAGAATATTGTCTGAACCACAACTCCTTTAAATCATGAATGTGCACTGAACCGCCCTATACAAAATGCAGAATCAAGAGACGCTAAATAAGGAGTGCCATGTGTAATAATACAAGAACTTACCCACTCTACATCATCCCAAAATACTTGTCTTCGCTTGTTGTTTAGTTTAGGTTAGGGTGGGCAGGTTGCCATTTGCCTGCTGACAGCATGGCAGTCAATTGGCAAATTGCTATTTTACACCCCCCTACCCTTAAAAGACAAACAAAACAAAAATTCTGTTAGTCCAATAAAAAGGTACTACAAGATACAAATTTTATCATTTTTACATTAATAGAACAGAAGTTTAACACCTCACTTATGCCCCCAGATGCCAGTGGGGGTTAAGAGGAGGTCTAATAAACAGTAAGCGGGCAGAAGCTGCTAGCTGACCAGTCGCTAATTTGATTACAGTGATTGCCTTTGTAAGGCTTTCCAATGCTTTGCAAGTCCAGTCAGTAGGTTGGCTTGTAAATCAAACCAGAGTGCTCTGAAAGGCAAGCCTAAGGTCTCGACACTTGCATGGGAATTGGCTGCACATACTAAAATGTTATATTCACCACTCTATTCTCAATAATACCCCCTTCACCCCCAACCAAAAGCATTTTGGTGGGATAAAAACGGTATGTCCATCCCCCTTATATATTTTTCAAAGAGCATACACCCACTGCCGATCGGCAAGTACTAGGGAGGATACTAGGTCAACCCTGTCGTCTACTTCATTAATAGCCACCCACCCATCACCTATTAGTAGGGGCTGTGGACACTAGGATATTCTTTACCCCCATTAACTTTTTATTTAATAGAGCGTCCACCTGCTGGCCACAGGTGGGAGTGGATACTAACCTGTTCACCCCATTATTTTACTTTAAGTGCCCACCTGAGGCTCACAGGGTGCACCAAGCCCTAGGCTGTAATTTATTAGCAACTAGGGGCTTTGGGGGGAAACACCCATCATTGTAAACTATTCTAGTAGCCTACAACCGCCCCACACTGTAAGTATACAGATAGTATTTTAGTTTAGCATTTTTTTTGCAGTCTTTAAATGACCACTATAGTGCCAGGAAAAACAAACTTGCTTTCCTGGGACTATAGGGTTATTAGGGCCCCCCCCACCCTCAGGGCCCCCCTCCTGCTGGGCTGAAGGAGTTAAAACCCCTTCAGCCAGCCACTCTCCACCCCCGATGTCAGATCTGAATGCGCGGTAAGAGCCGCGCACGCACATTCAAACCGCCCATAGGAAAGCATTACTCAATGCTTTCCTATGGACATCCAGCATCTTCTCACTGTGATAATCGCGGAAGTGCCTCTAGCGGCTGTTAGACAGCCACTAGAGGCTGGATTAACCCTCAGTAAACACAGCTGCAGGGTTAAAACTAGAGGGACCTGGCACCCAGACCACTTCATTGAGCGGAGTGCCTATACTGGTCCTTTGATGATTTTTGGTGCAGGTAGGAACTAGCCTTGTGTGGTGCCGAGGTAAATAGGGCTAATAATTCATAGTTTTTTTGACTCTTTGGATCTCAAAACCTTTCATTGACGGTGTGTTGAGCTTGGACACACAGTCTAGAATAGGTGTACCCTTAGCCATCCCTCAGCATGCTCAGGGTTCCTTTACCCTCTTCATTTTTCTTTCTGAGGGTTCTTTTGGCAGAAGAGTCTTTTCATTTGGTTGAGACTTACCAGAGTATCATAACGATCTGTGGATTTACCTATTGATGCACTCGCTCCAATTGCTATTAGGTTGGATAATATAGAGGGGGAATTTTATATTGACCCCATTGTGATACCTACCTGCCCAGAGGTGGCATTCTATATAGCAGCTAATTCATCTGTTTTATCCCACCTTCCTGCTCTATCTGTAGGCACAATTAGATGATCACTAAATATTGAGCTATTTCTGGTCCATTTTGTGTATAAAATTCTAATAAAAGTTAAGGTTCTTTTTAGCTACTTCCGTACCTCACTGTGCTCCCTCCGTTTACGCTCTATCAGTGGAGTGTACTGGGAATTTCTCCTATCATGTCATTCAAGGGTTACCCCCCTCTCAGGGAGCACAGTTTAGGTGAAATTCCCTATACAGGAGGTGAGATTCCGAGATACCCTCTCCCTGTTGAGGCATGGTGGGTAATCACTATCTTTTTTCGAGTTACGGTTATTAATATTCATATGTAAACTTGCTTGAACAGCGCCCTCTACACATTCATCCAACTCATCTTGTTACAAATGATGCCTGTTAGTCCACCTATTTGTAGGCGTTTTATAAATAATCAGCTTGGTGATGGGACCACCATTCCTCTGAGAGGTCAAAAAAAAAAAAAAAAGTCTACTCTGCTTAGTCCCAGTGACTAAAGCAGTAGCCTAATCTACTTATCCACAATGACAGTCGATTTTTCCTGACACATTTTGAATTATAAAAGACTGAGCCTCTGCCAAAAGCCCTAGAAATTGACAGGGCTATTTCCTAAAAATCTGAATGCTAAAATGGAGGCATCTATAACGCATCTGGAAAAAAGCACTAACTCCGCTAGTCCCAACATTGCCTCATTTTTACTATGAGGCTTTAGTGAATTACCCCCAGCGTCTCACCCACATCCATCCCATGTGGTTTTTAAACTGTGAAACCACATTTTGCATCTTATCATCTTAACAATACTCCCACTTTTTGTAAATTTACAATTGCAAAAGAATTGAAAACAAGGAAGTAAATTCTATGGCTACACATTATCTGGAAGTAGAGCTTCATCTTAAGATTTCTTTTGGTATTTACGGATTTCAAAAGAGAATATGGCAATCGCTATAAAAATGTGTATGTGCATGACCCATGAAGTAATTTTGGCTATCTAGCTGAAAAAATTACAATGTTGCGCATTAGAGACTTAAACTGTCCAAAGGTCCCCTGGACTCAATTAGCCCGGTTATTCCTTCAATACATGTTTATGATATCTCAAAAAAAAAAAAAAGGAATAAAGTTAGGATACATCAGATTCTAGATGAAAATGATGGTTCCCAAATTCTCATAATAAAATTAAAATGATATAGAATATTCTTTGGTAAATATTTATGCTCCAAACCAGACTCCTTCAAAATTCTTATCCAATTTATATAACAAAATAGAACCGATGAGATTTGGTAGGTTAATGATAGGAGGAGACTTTAACACAGTGGTCAATTCCAAGATGGACAAAAATCAAAGTAAAGATCATTCTGAAATTTATACCAATAGACCCTATAATAAAAGATTTCTTGAATTTTTTTTTAATATCAAACTCTCTATATGATTCTTTTCAGCGGTACATGAATCATACTCCCGTATAGATTAATTTTTTTTAACTTAGTCGAAAAATTTGGAACCGATTAGGAAGACACACTATCTAAAATATTAACCCTTTTAAATTCTAATTGCTTTACATCGGGAAAAATAAAATAATCAAACCTATACCAATTTTCTATATGGGAATATGAATTGAGGCCTGGTTAAAAAACATTTCTCGAGTTTCATGTACGATCCTCTGTATCTCTATAATAGAACTGCACTACAGGTTAATATACAAGCGGTATCTTACTCAAGCACGTCTCAAAATTTCTAGAATTAACTCAGACAGGGGTTAGATATGCCATCTAGAAAAGGATACCATTGCTCACATATGGTGGGAATGTACAAAAAAAAAAAAAAAAATTTTTAAAAAAACACATTCTAGTTGCAGCTAAAATATTAGCACTTAATTGGAAAATTACAGATTTAAAATGGACAGAAATAAGCGAGCAAATTTCATACCAATATAAAATGGAACGCAGTTTCTTCATAATAAATGATTCAGTGGAAAAATACTGGGAACCTTGGACAAATTTTTTGGCAACATAATTCGAACGTCAAATTCAGATCATGATCCACCTCTAAATCTCAAAACATAGATATAAATAACAAATGTCAAATCAAATTTAACATCCTACTACCCTGGACACTTGAGTATGAATGTTAACATGTTAGGAATACATATGGTCTTGTGTAGTATTGTTAATAATAATGGTATTATTCTTTATGCATATTTCCACTAAATTGTTAAAATTTTAAATAGTCATGATTATCGAAATTGTCCAGAAAAATTAGAACTTTCCTTTTTTCCCCCACAAATAAAAATCTATAAATAAATTTAAAAACTATAAAATTAATAGCTAGTGACAAAAGCAGTATGATAGCCATTTAAACCACTGAGTGCTTATCATATTTAAATACCTGTTGTGCAGACCAGGGTTTCCCAAACCAGTCCTCAATACCCACCAACAGTCCAGGTTTTGTTAGTATCTCCATTGGAATAAAACAGGGAAATACATAAATCCTGGACTGTTGGTGGGCCATGAGGACTGGTTTGGGAACCACTGGTGTAGACCATTTGAAATTATAGTGAAATCTTTGTTTTATATTGAGTTGTTTCATTGATGGATTGCCCTTCTGAATGGATTTTATCCAATACTGGTGCATGGTTTGCACCTCTTCTCCTTTCAGAGGCAACTGTTGGGAGCAAACATGTGATACATCCAAGCAACCCGCTAATTTGGGTATTAATGGGGCAATAATTGAAATAAAAATTGTCGTACTGAAAGAGTTGTGGCCTCAAAATCTTTCTAGAGCAATATTGCCAGACATGTAATAAACTGATCGGGATAGGAAGTTATATCATGCACAAAAATAAATGCAATATAAAACAGTAAAATGTAAGTTGTGTCTTCATTACAGTTTGTGTATATACAGCTGGGGTTTATATCTTTGAACATTTACTAGTAGATTGAGACTAAAGAAGAATTGCAGCAAAGTGACATAAGGGATTTTATGAGGCAGATAATATGGAAATGCAAGTTTATTATAGGATACCAGATGCATAATTAATAGAAAATTGCAGACACCATAAATATTGATACGACTAAACAGGTTTTTTTTTTTTTTGTTTTAAATGCAAGACTAAAAATCAGCTTGTTTCATTAGGAGTTCAAGACACTTACCATAGTAAAATTCTCCCTTTTGATACATCATTGGAACTTGTACCTCACTTTCGTCATCTTTGGTAAATGAAAATGTTCTGGTGTTTTCAGGTCTAAATTGGGATTTCCAGTTACCCTTAAAGTAGATTGCATTGACCAGAACCAGTCTTGTCAATTCGGTAAAATCTTCAGAGGAGAACAGATCATGTATACGGTCTGGCAGAAGACAAGAGAAAATTATGCTACTTACATGTAATGCAGCCCACAGATATCCATGATATAAGTACAAGCAGGGGGAAAACAACAAAAAAAAAAAAAAAATGATATATCATCCCAATCCTCCTCTGCTGAGGTCACTCTCCCTCCACAAGTTTCTAGGAATGGGTGGTCATTGAATGTGAATGGAACGGTTCCTTGATGACTTAAAGGTAGGCAGACAATGTAATAGAGCAGCAGGAAATGCTAGCAGAATGCTTGGTTGTATAGGGAGAGGTATTAGCAGTAGAAAGAGGGAAGTGCTCATGCCATTGTACAGAACACTGGTGAGACCTCACTTGGAGTATTGTACACAGTACTGGAGACCGTATCTTCAGAAGGATATTGATACCTTAGAGAGGGTTCAGAGAAGGGCTACTAAACTGGTTCATGGATTGCGGGATAAAACTTACCAGGGAAGGTTAAAGGATCTTAACATGTATAGCTTGGAGGAAAGACAGGATAGGGGGGGGATATGATAGAAACATTTAAAATAAATATATATAAAAATAAATAAATAATCATCAACACAGTAAAGGAGGAGACTATATTAAAAACACTACCACAACAAGAGGACAGTCTTAAATTAGAGGGACAAAGGTTTAAAAATAATATCAGGAAGTATTACTTTACTGAGAGGGTAGTGGATGCATGGAATAGCCTTCCAGCTGAAGTGGTAGAGGTTAACACAGTAAAGGAGTTTAAGCATGCGTGGGATAGGCTATCCTAACTATAAGATAAGGCTAGGGACTAATGAAAGTCTTTAGAAAATTGGGCAGACTTGATGGGCCAAATGGTTCTTATCTGCCATCACATTCTATGTTGATAAATGCAAACAGTTTTAAAAAGAGGCACTCTAAGCAGATTGTTATGGTGCAAGCAGTGTTTTGGTTGTCAAACTAGAGGCTGGGACACAATTTTCACAAATCTCATGACCTATGCTGCCAACTAAAATAATGATAACACTTCTTCACTACCTGCAAGCCTTAAGATGGCAATGACCGGCTGTGAGAGCTAAGCTAAGCAGTTCTTAACCCCATTTTGTTTTATGAATGATGCAAGAGTAAAAACGTTGGCAGATGAGCTTCAGGTATCAATAGTCTAGCTCAGGGGTAGGCAACCTTTTAGTAGCACTGTGCCAATATAGGATTGTGATGTCCCGTAGCGTGCCGATCCTATTTTTTTAAATTGATGTGTGTATGCTGCCGTAGTCTTGCTTGTGTTATTTTTACTGTAATTGCTTTGTATTTGTGCGTATATGACCTATTATATTGTATATGTTCATTAGTAGTTTATGGTATCGCGTATGAGAGATTATATATAGATATCCCTTTTGTTTGATTTTTCTCTATGATGGTGTAGAGTCTTATTAGACAGATAGGAGTGGGGATTATAGGGATAGTCTTTAGGCTGCCTCGAAGCAGCAGGTAGTCAATCTATTTTTCCCTGTATTTTGGGAGACAGCTAGCAGCTTAGGGCAAGTGAGGATATATAAGTGGGGCATCTTTTTGTTCCTGGCAACAAACAGCTTTTGGCTATGAGCCTAAGACTTATATTACCCATTTATTCTTGTCGATAGTACATTTTTGCACGTAGTTGCAGCTGTCCCATTTCGAATAGGGATATTATTACTACCAGGTTATACTTTTGTTTAACCCTAACTTTATCCCCCTCCTCTTTTCTTCTCTACTTTGATACTAAGTCCTGGATAAGGTTCACTTTGTACAGATATTACTTTCTATCTGCTCTTTTCTCTATAACAGCGTTCCTTATACCAGGTAATTTATACAACTCACATTAGGGCTATATTCTAGTTAGTATTTGTGAATATTTATTTCACTCACCAATATCCCTTAGGGGAACTCTTTCTGGCAAATTTTTTAGCCAGTTATGTATAATTCCAATATGTATGTCATTTTTTATTAAAGGTCTTGGAACCCGTTACATATAGTACACTTACTTTTTGGGAGGTATAGATCTATGAATGAATAGGTTTTCCAATTCATTCATATTATATATATATATATATATATATTTTATATATATATATATATATATATATATATATATATATATATATATATATATATATATATATATATTATAAATAAATAAATAAATAAATGTGGGCTGTGTATGAGGGCTGCTTGTGGAATTGTGTGTGGATGGATAGGTCATATTGTGTGTTTAGTAGTGTGTGAGGGCTGTTTGGGTTATTGCATGTGAGAGGCTGCATGCGGGCTTGTGTGCATGTATGTGGATTGTTAGTGGTGTTGCATTTGTGGGGATTGTGTGTGGGCTGTTTGTATTATTTGTATGAGTGGAGGTTTATTCTGCATTTCGGTGTATATCTAGCAGTGTGGGTGGCTTCCCTGGGTTCCAGTGGGGACCAGGCCGGCCAAGTATAGCTCAAGTATAGGAGCTGCAGGCTGCTCTGCTACAGTATGGATTCCCATTCACAAGTGCTGGGAGGAAGTGATCTGAGATCACTTCCGCTACGTGCTGCAATGCATAAATTGAGGATTGTCCTTCACAACCTCTTCGTATTAGCAGATATCTGAAGTTTTACTGGGACTTCTGATAGGACAGAGCCTGTTTGGCTCTAGCAGCCTTATGTGCTGTGCATCGCACTAGTGCCGTAGGTTGCCTACGCCTGGTCTAGCTCCTGAGTCAAATCACTCAAAAGCAGCAAGAAAAAAAGAAACCTGCTCAGTTTATTTAAACACTGCTACTGACTGAATTGAATGCAGTCACAGTTCACCTCCATCCTAATCAGCTTTATCGACTGTAAAACAGCATCTACAAAGATTAACATCAGTTTTACATCACATGGACAGAGACAGTATTTCAACGTCTACCAAAGATCCATGGATAAAATAAATATTAACATTTTATTTTAAAATGGAAAGAAATAGTAAAATGCAAACATGGCTACTCACAAAAGATCATTAAGCTAGAAAGAAATTATATATATATATATATATATATATATATATATATATATATATATATATATATATATATATATATATATATATATATATATATATATATATACACACACACACATATACACACACACTATATATCTCAAAACCTGTATATAGGAACAAATGCTTCTTTAAATATTGCAGTACAAGAACCGAAAATACATATCAAACAAAACAAATCCTAGGTAGAAGCTGATAACATACTATTAGTGTGATTTTCCACCCACGTATTGATGTGATTTGCCACCGTTGAAGCTTGTTTAAAGTCTACATTTTCTACTTCTGCCTTGAAGTATTTTTTCATTAACTGAATAAACTTGTCACTGATATGAAATCCATCTTGTAAATACAGAGAGTTTGCGATGCTGAGTACATAATGTCTTTCCTGGGCTGTGATCATGCTGGAAAGATCTTTCAACAGAGTAAATTCTTCACCTTGAGAGAGAAAACCAGAAGATAACAAATTGAGTGAAAATAGTTTCAACTAGAATGAAAGTATATTGATTTATATGGCTGAAAAATAAAGGAAATCTTTTGACTGCTGAAAAAGACTGCTGATGAACAGATCATTAAAAATATTAAGTGATTTGGATATCCAACATTAAGCTTGACACTATTCTATAGGGTACAAAAATCTCTGCCAAGTTAGGGTTTCTTATTTTAAATCATATACTCTAAAATCTTTTTGTACCTCTTATTAACCGTTAAAGAGTTGTCACCAATTTCCCCCCACCCCATTGTTTGAATAATGGCCTTTTTGGGATTATTCGTTAGCCCACACCCTCACAAAGAAAAAAAAATAAAAAAAAAATAAATTATATTATATATATAAATAAATAAATAAATAAATAAATGATTATTATTGCCCTTTAATATTCTTACCTTAAATCAAACAGAGATCAGTGTTCTCTGTGCTCTGGCCTTTCAGATGTTGCTAAACTACAACTTCCATGATTCTTAGAATAAAATAGACAGAGAATCATGGGCAGTTCAGCAACATCCGAAGGGCTAGAGTACCACGGTTTAGATCAGTGGTTTCCAACCTAGCCCCAAGTACCCCCTTACTAGTCCAGGATTTAGGGATTTCCCAGTTGTGCCCTAGGTGTTAAGGAAACCCCCCAAAAAAAAACCCACCACACACACTTTAGACACATCAGCGTATTCCCTAAATCCTGCACTGGTAAAGAGTACTTGAGGACTGGGTTGGGAGCCCCTGGTTTAGATGAATATAACAATCATTGCTATTGCAATTAGTTAATCAATTACTATTGTGTATTAACATGACAAATTACAGATGTACCATTTTTAAGTTTGTCATATCCCAGAGCATGTCGAATTTCTTTCAGGCTGGATCCATGAGCTCCCAGTTCCACCATTCCAACAGCAAGTGCAATGCTCAAAGGAGAGAAAAATATATTTTCATCTTCTTTTGTTGCTCGAAGATCATGATAAAGCTTGACGGAGAACTCTGTGATTGTATCATCATGGACGCTTACACTGTACACTACTGTTAATGCAACAGTTACAAAAAGTATGCCGAAGAGATGCATAATTAAATAAACCTATGGATGAAGCACAAAAAATAAAAAAAGATTAGTGAATGAAGCACACACACACAAAAAAAGGAATATATAGAGGACAACTTTATTAATAAACTTGAACCCCTTAAGGACACATTACAGAATTATTTAATCAAAGATGTGTAAGGACCCAAGACGGAATAATTCAGTTATCTGCCATTTTACACCAGCAGGGACCGTTTCCCTGTTGCCAACTATGAACACACTCGATACCTGGAGAAAGAATAAGTGACCCCAGGCTGTTTGATTAGCTTTATGCAGTGCTCAAAGTGCGGGCTGCATTCAGCAATTTAAATCATAGTGGCTAAGCTTCTGGATTCAGCCACGGTGAACTAATTTCTGATGTCACCCATGATTCTCCCTGGCAGTTTGAGACCCGGCCTAAGGAGCAGTGTTGATTTTGTTGACTAACAATTTGAGTCAACTAAAACAATTCAGATGACTAAAATGGCTTTTTTACTCAAAAGATTAGGACTAACACAAAATTGAAATTTACCGCCAAAATTAAAACTGACAACTTAGACACATGGGGGAGGGAGGAGGGAAATGAGACACATGGGGGAGCACTGGAAGGGACACAAAGCAACAGAAGGGGGCTGAGGAGAAAAAGTCCCACATATAGAGAGAAAAGGACTGGGAGGGCGAGTATGAAGAGCCACAGAGGGGCGAGAGAGAGACACAGATAGAGGCTTTAACTAAACCCCCCTTTCCCCCCCCCCTACAGCAGAGGGTCATGAGTGCTGGGCTATGCAGGTTGATCATTGAGATTGCAACTGCAGGGGGGTGAAGGGAATTGAAATCAAATTGTGACATGATTTAGAAGCAGAAGGGAATAATCCTTCACAAACTGATAATGCAAGTCAGCAATGGCAATCTTACAGTGCAAAATGCTTTTGCTCAAGAGATCTAGCGGAGCACAATATTTTAGTAGCTATCTATAGTAGTACACATTAAGTTTAAAAAAAACATATTTCACTAAATTGCAATTTGTTTAATAAAAAAAAAAAAAAGCCCACACATGACATGTAGCGTTGACTTTTCCAATGGTTATGTGTAAGGGGGTAATTTGTAGTGTCAGATAACTACAATGCCCCTATCAAATTCTCTCTCTATAACTTCACATGATAATGCCAACGGCATACTGTGGAGGTATGGTTATGTTCAGAAGAGGTATAGGAGCATAGTTTTGGGGACACAATCATAGTGTTATACAATCAGATTTACTAGAGTGTGGCTTTGCAGCAGAAGAAAATGGCTGGTTAACTTTCTTCTCCATGTGCACGCCACGACAGATATATAGTTTGACCCACTTGCACCAATGGTGCAGATCTCTAGACCAGTTCCTACGGACCTAGAGATGACACCACCAGGTTTAGACGGCTCCATTGAATTGGAGGGATGGTTCTCTGATTTCAGACCATGAAGAACTACAGCTCATCAATGCTCTGCCAAACAAGGCGGATCTGAGAGATGCCACAGCTGAATTGTGCTCTCAAGACTGACAATTGGGACTATATGGTTCGTTTACCTGACAGCCACACGAACCAGAGACCACCCTGGAGCTTGTTAAGATTAATAGATACATTGTTGCAATTTCCACCTCTGTGGTCTAAGTGTTTGTCTTGGTGGCCACAATTCCTATGGACGACCATCTTGTTCGCATGGACCAAAACCACAAACAGACTTCAGGGAGACTTAGCCGCGAATGCCCTGGAACTATTTTCGGCTATAGGACCATGCCTGCAGTCGGTCAAATACATGACTTTCAGGAAATTTCTGAACCCGTGAACTGATCTGGGTGAATTTTGGATATGTTGGTCATCCAGATCAAGGCTATCAGGTGATGTAATATTTGTGGGGTTTTATGTATTTTTAGGGTACATTTGGGGTGTTTAAAAAAAAAAAAAAAGAAAAAAAAAATTATGTTTTTTTCTGTGATTGGAGATAATTGGATTAGAATTAGTACAGGAGAGGGATTGTATGTTTGTTATGGGAGTGTCGGGAGGAGGGATTGTATGTTTGTTATGGGAGTGTCGGGCATTTAATCACTGTTCTCATTGGTCTGTGTCTTTGTGTTGGAGTCCCCAACAAGGTCCATATGGGCGTACCCCTTGGTGCTCGCAAGTACTAGGAAGCATCGATTGACGAGGTACCCGGTCGGGGTGCCAGGCGGTCCATCACAACAATGATGCACAAATATTCAGACAAGATCACGGATATACATACAGACACACAAAGATACGTACACTGACACACACTGTATTAGGGATCGACCGATTATCGGTTTTACCGATATATCGGCCGATATTCAGTATTTTCGGCATCGGCCAATTCAGATACCGATAATACCTCCTAGGACCTGGGGGGGTGGGGAGCAAGCGCTTACTCACCTCCCAGCAGCTCCTCCAGCTCCCCAGTGTAACTCTCGCGAGACCCGCGGCCGTCAGAGCGTTGCCATGGATCACAGTGGCAACTCTCCGCGAGAGTTACACTGGGGAGCTGCTGGGAGGTGAGTAAGCACTTTCTCTCCGCTCTCCGCCCCCCCCCCTCCCCAGCTCAGCCAATACCACTGGACCACCAGGGACTGCTATATCCCCCCTCCCTGGCCAGGCACAAGCAGGGAGGGGGGACAACAAAAATAAATAATTTAATACAAAATGCCCCCTCAAACACTCCATTATATACACACTACACAAACACACTGTGTATATAATGCAGTGTGTTTGTATAGTGTGTATACAATGCACACAAATACACACTGCATTATACACACACACTGCATTATATACACACAGTGTATATAATGCAGTGTGTTTGTGTAGTGTTTATACAATGCAGTGTGTTTATATAATGCACACTACACAAACACTGCATTATATACACACACTCTGCATTATATAAACACACTACATTCACTATACACACACACACACACACTACACAAATACACACTTTGCATTTAGTATATACAGCATTCACTTTACGCACACTACACAAACAAACACTCTGCTTTCATTATATACACACTACACTAATACACACTGCATCCACTACACAAACACACATTGCATCCTCCACACACTACACAAACACACTACACAAACACACACAGCTCCCCTGTCACACTGCATCCACTACACGTGGCATGCATATTTTGTGCATTTACCTTTAGAAATTGTTTTTATTTTCCAAAATGGTAAATGTACAGAATATCGGCAAATTATATCGGCTATTGGCCTGAAAGTTCACAGAATATCGGTATCTGCTCTAAAAAAAAACCAAAAAACAAAAAAAAACAGGCAGATACATTTTTTTCCGCCCCCCATTGCAGTGTGTGTGAGAGAGGGCGGTGTGTATGTGTGTCCCCTATATGGCGGGGGAAGGGAGAGGAGGTGAATAGGAGTATTCATCAAAAACAAAACATTTTATTACAATTAAAAAAAAAAGGTATAAATAAACTATATGTCCAGTGGTGTACACACAATCCATAGCCTCTCTCCTTCCCTCCCCAACACACACACACATAGACCCCCGATAGACACATACAGAGACACAGACACACACAAAATGTTTCCTGCCTTTTGTGACTTTCCCTGGGGTCCAATGGGGGCTCAGCCTGATGGGAGTCAGAGTTCCCACTCTGACTCCCTGCTCCTTCCTCCTGCGCGGGCTCGCTGTATGCTGGAGGAGTGACCTCCTCCCAGCAGTGATGTCATCCCAGGGGGCCCGGTCGCCCTGTTAAAGCGCCCAGCGCAGACCGGGCCCTCTGACAATCCATATCCATTGGGTGGCCCTGACAGCATGGGCCACCCGATGAACCCCTTAACATGCAGCCCGCCGCACGGGCCAGGGCTGCAAAACGTGGCAGCTGGTACTCGGTCGCGAGGGTTCGCAGGGCTGCCGGGACACCTGGAGTGACAGGCCCGGTCGCAGCTGCAAACCCTGCGACCACGGTATGTACCCCACAGTATATGTCCCCTCTCCCTCAGGGAGGGGGGACATTGCCCTGGTGGAGATGAGCAGTACTACTCTGCCTGCAGACAGAGTTCAGTCCTTCTGCGATATCCTCAGAGCGTTGACATGGTAACCCGTGGGAGGACCTTTTGGCCTGTGACGGACCGCCTGACACACACTTAAAGTTACACTTCATTGTGGTTTTTTTTCTTTTTTTTTATAAATTCACAATGAAGTGTAACTTTAAAAAGACACATTACTGTGATAATTACAGTGAAGCTCTGTTAGATAAGCATACATATTAAAAACGTGTAGCTCTAGAAGAGAGGGATTGTGAGATTAGGTATAAAATTAAGACTTCCTCTCCTAGGATGTATGCATCATTTGGAATATCTTCAATTCTGGACTGTTGATAGATATTGATTTAAAGAACAAGCAGATCTCTCATCTAAAAGAAATTGCAGTAAGAACAATTTGTTTTTCTAGCATCAAAACAGTAGAGCTAGCTAAATTTCACCAGGTGTTTGGCTACATTTAGCCTTAAATATGCATTTTGCACACCTCAAACACTTTCAGGATTATTTAATAAAGTGAGAATTTCAGTAGTTCAACTTGAATTTTATATTTCAAACCAAAATAGCTGAACTGGAAGCGTAGCAGGCTTGGAAAATTTTGCCAATTCAGCTATTTTGGCCGTACATTTGAAATTCACTTTAAATTCCTGACAATTCCAATTTAGCAAATGACCCTGATACTTGGGAATATAAGAACAGAAAAAAAAAAAAATCATGGGAAGTGACAGTTCGAAACAAATTAAAACTATTTGTATCATATCAAAACAAGCAAATACATCATTTGTATTTATCTTTTCTCCCACAAAATAAAGAATATTAGGAATGCTATTATTCCCCATACAGAACCAATCTTAGATGAAAAAAAATAAAAAAAATAAAAATATAAAAATTTAAAATCCCAAAACCCACCACACAAAATAAAAGTGTGTTGGAAAATAAAACTTGTAACAAAAAATTTTTCAACTGTAGGGTGATCCAAGGATAAATCTGACTGCCATTCTGTTTCCCCCCTCTAGTTTGTTGCAAAATCTGAAGTGCCTCAAACTGTGCCCCCCCCCCCTCTCCCCCCTCCCTTTCTTTTGGATCAACAGCAAAAACATTTTTTTTTTTTTTAAATAAAATGGTGTGAGGAACACTGAACTTTATGGACACATCTCCTTTCAGCCTGTGTAATTATGTAAGCAACACTGATGAAAGAGTTCTTAAGTGAATAATGTAATAAAGGAATCCTGGTTGTTGTCAGGAATACAACATTTTAGGCCGTACTGCCAAACCAAGATTGACAGTGTGTCCTCCCTTTGAAGTCTTCAAAAATTCTTGTTTTACGGAACAACCCACACATTTTGGGGTAAAACATATGCACATTTGAAACACTAACAAGCACTCAGCTATAAAACAGAATATGTCAGTGCTTCATACTTCTTATTTATATAAAAAAAAAAAAAAAATAAAAAAAAACACCCCACACAAATATAAAAGTACGTATAACATAAAAAGTTAGTTTCGTTATTACTCAGTAAGCATTGCTCATTCCCTCTGTAGTTTCTGCAGCATACAATAAGTGATGATGAAATAGTGCATAATGGCAACATTTGCAGGGTTATTCACAATATCAGTAATGGTCAGGTGTAATCCAAAGAATTACACATTTTCGGCCAAAGTAATTGGAAAAATTCTCAAACTCAAATATATTTCCAGTAGAGTTATTGTGCCCTTAAAATTGTGCACCCCTGAGAAATATAGGACAACTCACTTAGTGAATAACCTGGACAATGTTGCAATTTTATTTTGAGCTATTGCTGCCTTCCAATATGTAATAGTTTTGAATAACCAAATACATACAATATATATATATATATACACACATACATACATACATACACACACATATACACACACACACACTTTGTAAATCTCTCATACTGTAATGTTTATTTAAAAAAGATTCTGTTGGTAAAAGAATTTTACTATCCATTTAACACAAGTGTAATGGAACAAAATTGTTTACACAATTTAGCAAATATGTTATTGACTGTGCCAAAACTCGATACCATGGCTAGAGCCAGGACAGCATGTGTTTATCTTTTAACATGCAGAAATTCCAGAGTAGAACAAACAGAAGATATATCTGCTCTTTCCATCTGAACTAGATGCCATGCTAACTCAAATATCAACCTCTTGCCTTCAAGACGACTGAGGGAAAACAGTCAGCTTACTACTAGATGTGAGATGGACTGAACTTGAAGGACATGTATCTTCAGCTTTGTAAAATAGGTTCTCTCAAAATTTCTCCAGAAATCGAAAGTGGTAACTGGACACCATGATAGAAAGCATTTACACAGAATACCAGTTTTACAGGTATGGCAGAAACTGTAACTATTTCATCATGGCTGGGAATATCTACACCAGAAATGGACAACAGAGATTACACAGCAGTTGCAATAACTACAACTCCCATGATATTTTGCCACCCTGAAAAGTGGCAAAGCATCGTGGGAGTCGTAGTGCTACAGTAGCTGAGGAATCTACCATTTGGCCATTGCCTGGTCAATACATGGTAACTTACACAAGAAATTCACATTGACATAAAGCATTCATATTAGATTATCAAAGCTGAACCCCATTGTGCTCATATAAAGACAATAAGTATTTGGACCAACACTCCCATCATCCTTAGATATAGAAAAATAGATCACAGCAGGTGGAATAGGAGAAGCCTTAATAACTGTAAGATGTGACTGTCATGCAACCACAAAAAATAAATAAAAAATATATTAAAAAAAGCCAATGCTGGTATCAGGTGTGTTCTTGTTTTCCAGCTCCTTGAAATAGCCATGGAGACAGCATGAAAATACTGTAAACAAACCCAGAGGTTTAAGACAGGCAGCAATAATGACCCTGATAAAGACATGGTGCCATTATTGGAGAATGACTGGCAGCCCACCCCAGTCACTATGTATGCCAGCCAGTCACTGGGATGCATTGGGAATACTGGGAGCATCTCCTGCCTTACCTCAGGACCAAACCTCACTGCTCCAGCTCCAGAGATACTGCAGCTCCTCCTGCTTCAGCTGACTGCAGGCTCAACCTCTCTTTTCACCAGCAGGCTAACCCAGGCGCCAGGCACGTTCTGTCCTCGCAGCCAATCAGCGCACAGCTACCAATTTACGCCCTTTCCGATTGGCCCGTACTTCAGCCACTCCTGCTCGCCATTTGACAAGCGTTCTGTTTGTTATGACAGGCTCGGGGTTCGCAAAGGATTCTGGGAGGGTTAGTTCCGCATCGCGTCAAGCCCAGCGCACCGAGTAGGGCGAGCGACTTCCATTCCCATCAGCCCAGTGACTGTTCGCACAGTGTGTGTGTTGGTGTGTCATAGCCCCGCCCCTCGAAAGGTAAACCCGTCGGACTGGTTCCGGGCAACGCCTGTTTCTGCTTTAGGACGGTGGACACTTCCTACAACGGACTTCCGGCGCCTGGGACTCCCGAGCGGGTGGCTGTAGATCGGGGCCGGGAAGCGCTGCGTCCGCTGGATCACAGGTAAGCCGGGCCCCGGCCTGGGGTAGGGTCAGCCCTGGGGAGCCGGCTGTCTGGGCTCCGGGCACTGTGTGCTGAGTAATGCTAATCCGGGGCTCGGCCTGGGGCTGTCACTGAATGGGGATAGAATCCCGGACCCTGTCCGTACTCGTAATACTTCCCACCGGGCAACCAACCAACCAACCCAGCCCGCCTCCCACCGGGCAACCAACCAACCCAGCCAGCCTCCCACCGGGCAACCAACCCAGCCAGCCTCCCACCGGGCAACCAACCAACCCAGCCAGCCTCCCACCGGGCAACCAACCCAGCCAGTCTCCCACCGGGCAACCAACAAACCCCGCCCCACCGGGCAACCAACCCAGCCAGCTCTCCCACCGGGCAACCAACCAGCCAGCCTCCCAGCCCAGCAACCAACCCAGCCAGCCTCCCACCGGGCAACCAACCCAGCCAGCCTCCCACCGGGCAACCAACCCAGCCAGCCTCCCACCGGGCACCTCACCCAGCCAGCCTCCCACCGGGCAACCAACCAACCAACCAAGCCCGCCTCCCACCGGCACTCTCGTAGCCGTACCAGTGCTGGAGCCATTCACAGCAAGTCTTTATCTGAACCGGCCAAGTCTGATATCGGACGGCCATTCCTCCCCTGTATGTCAGGAAATGTAAACCACGGCCCACCTGTGTAATGGGGGGTGGGGGGGCTCTAGACCACGGCCCACCTGTGTAATGGGGGTGGGGGGCTCTAGACCACGGCCCACCTGTGCAATGGGCACCATGGGAGACCACGGCCCACCTGTAATGTGTAATGGGGGCTCTAGACCACGGCCCACCTGTGTAATGGGGGATAGGGCTCAGACCACGGCCCACCTGTGTAATGGGGGGCTCGGGCTCTAGACCACGGCCCACCTGTGTAATGGGGGCTCGGGCCCACCTGTAATGGGCTCGGGGGGCCCACCTGTGTAATGGGGGGCTCTGTGACCACGGCCCACCTGTGTAATGGGGCTCTAGACCACGGCCCACCTGTAATGGGGGCTCTAGACCACGGCCCACCTGTGTAATGGGGGATAGGGCTCTAGACCACGGCCCAGCTGTGCTCTAGACCACGGCCCACCTGTGTAATGGGGGGGGATGATTTTATAGGACCTTGGGATTTATTACAATATTGTGAACATGGTATGCCCACCATAAGCCGCAGTGATAGAAGTTGGGGGGGGGGGGCGAGACTGCGAATAACAATAGGTGATTAATAATAAAAATGTATGTATCACTATATGATTGACAAGAGAGAAGTTTTTGTGAATAAAACATTCTCTATATGCTTTTGCTTCACACAAGCAGATCTAAGCAGCTTTATTAGGTTATTAGGTCACTCCTATCTAGAGAAGATATAGGGCTATATATGTCCCAGCATTTCCTGGGTAGACAGTGACAAGGGGCAAAAGCTATTGGAATAGTGCAGTTTGTGTCAGCACTCTCAAGGTTATTGGCAACATTGTATATTGTGTTGAACTCAAACTGAATTTTGTTGGTTGATTTAATTTTGGCTAAATTAGGTATTTTGGACTATACTTTAATATTTTATTTTACTTCCCAGTAATTCAAACTTTAGTGAGTTGCCTTGTCAATGTTCTGTGTTTAGATAGACAGCATGTGTTTGTTTTGGTCTGAAAATCATAGTGCAACATTTGTGGCCAATATAGTGTACTTATAGTTTAGCCAACATTTTGGCATTTCTGCTGTTCTAAGTTAACAGTCTAGTTTTCAGTACTCTCTGTACATTTACTAGTCAAGGCACACTGTCTTTAGGTTAGTATTTGAAAACCAGAAACCAAAATTTTGGATGTAGGCTTCAAGGATTACTTTTGTGCTTGTTAATTTAATTGCAACTTCCACTTGCAAAATGTAATTCTTTTTTTTTTTTTTTTTTAAAGTTTGCATACTGATATAGTATTTATAATTACTCTTTGAATCATTTATTAGTTTTCTATTAACTGTTTCATGGCTTGGCAAATCCAGATCTTTATGTCAAAACTTGCGTGTCGAAACAGAAAAGTGCAAAGAAACTTGTTTTATGTGAGTAGATTGTCTCAATGTGTTTCACTAGCTGAGACAGGTCTTGTTGCTTGCTTTAGCAGTGTTAATGATGGAGTACATCAGTTAGAGGTAACACATATAATACCAGCATGGCCTGCTTGTCAGAAGAGACGGCAGAATACCACATTTAACTTTTGAGTGCCAGATGTGTGCCCAACCCATTGCAGTGTTGACCACACCTCTCGTGTTCTGTGGTTTAATGTGTATCTGCGAATGTAGGTGTGCATATTAGAATGTATTTCAGAATTTTATGTGTAAGAATGCATGCTACAGTTAAATACAGTAATTTTAAAGGGGTTCTATAGGGCACAGGTTAAAACTCCTTCAGTCACTTATCTGAAACCAGCGTCAATGTCCCTCGTCGCTGGGTCAGGCTCCGCCCACACTTCGCCGCAGGCGGAGACCTAATGCCTCATGCGCGACAATGGCTGCGCTCACATTTATGCATTATTCAATGCATTCCTATGGGAAAAAGTCTGATGCTGGAACAAGTCCTCATGCAAAGCGTAAGGACGTCCAGCAGCACATAACGGACCAACTGTCATTTCAATTCTGGAAGTCCCTCTATAGTTAATCTTCAGAGGTAATTATTGCAGTTTTTCAGAAACTGCAATAATTACGATTGTAGGGTTAAGGGACATGGGACATGGGACATTGCAATGAGCTGAAGTGGTCTGGGTGCCTACAGCATCCCTTTAACTGATTTTTCTCTTGCCAATGAGATGGAAAGTAAAATTTAAATTAAATATGTTGTGTAGAGAACCAAATTATTAATTCAGACCTTCATTAAAGGGACATGAGCACCAAAACAACAAATACAAATGTGTATTCCTTACCCTATAGCGTTAAAAACACTATCTAGCTGCAACGATCCCCCCTCCGCGCCCCCCCCCCCACACACACACACACACATGAAAGCATTGGGCATGCTCGTCAAAAAGCTATGCTGTGCCAGTCAGCATCTCATCATAGAGATGCATTGACTCAAGTTCAACGTGGAGATGCTGAGCATACATTCAGCACTGACCCAAGAAGCACCTCTTGCAGCCGTTTGAGTGATTGCCACTGGAGGTGTCCCTAGAAAGCAATGTAATCCAGAAACCATTAAGTTGTAGTTGTTCAGGTGACTATAGTCAGGGCAGTCTTTAATATTGACCGGAACCTGGGCAACCTTTTTCTTGGGCCCCCTGCACCCTGCCAGATGTGCTAACACATACACTGACAGTCATACTGACACACACACACAGGTATTAAAAATCACAAAAACATACACAGGGTGCTAAACTGCGCATAGGTCAGCATACCCCATATAATCTGTATATAAAACAAAAAAAAATCTCAGGCACTCACTGTGATGTGTTCAAAGCTGTTTTATTTGATCTGCAACGTTTCGACCTGTACTCAGGTCTTTATCAAGCTTGATAAAGACCTGGGTATAGGTCGAAACGTTGCAGATCCATTAAAACTGCTTTGAACACATCACAGTGAGTGCCGGAGATTTTATTATATACTGACGCACATGCACTGACTGACATGCACTGACAGACATTCCAACGCTGCAGAATATGTTGACGCTTTATAAATGCCAGTAATAAATAATAAATAAAATACCCTGACAGACATACAGACAGACACATACACGGACACAGACATACTGACATAAATTTACACTTTTAAATCCACCCTCCAGCTTCCTACCTTGGAGGGTGGTTTCCCGGTGTCCAGTGCGGAGGCTGTTGGGAGTTGGGGTCTGCCTCTCCCGGCACAGCCCCCCCTCCGTCTACTGCGCGGCTCCTTTTCTTAGTGGGAGGAAGTGACTTGCGGACGTCACTTCCTCCCAATGCTGCCGAAAAAAGGGGGCCCAGTTGCGCTTTTTAAAGGGCATTTGTAACCGGGCCCCGGACAGCTGCCCCATTTGCCCCGCGTTAAAGAAGGCCCTGACTATAGTGTCCTGTTTAATCACCATTGTTTCTGTTTATGCAGCCTTAGCCTCACCTCCCCTGGTTATGAGTCGCATAGCTGACACACACAAATTGTTTAATTTTGAATCCGTTGTGACTGAACGTGTATTTATTTCAGACGTTTTTATCTCTGCTCTGTTATTTGTAAATTAATCACAAACAGGAAGTTCCTGCAGGGTATTAAAAGAGCAAGAGACAAGACATTGTAAATTCAATAGACTGTGCAATAAAGGAAGTTTAAACATTGTATCTCTCTTTACAGGAAATATGTAGGGAGACTGTGTAGGTCATATGCAGAGGAGCTGCATAAACAAAGTGATTTTAATTCCTAAATGGCTGAGAATTGAGCAGTGAGACTGCTGGGGAATAATCTATAGAGAAAAACCCACTCATTAAAGGTTTACTCGAACGCTTTTTTTCCCCCCACTCTTTGAATAATGCCCTATAGGGCATAATTTTTTAGCTCCGCTCCCTTCTATAAAAAAAAAACCCTGAAAAATCTTTTTGAAATAAGTTTTTTGCTTAACTAATCCAGTGTAGGGCGAAACTCCTGGCGCTGCTAGGTACGGCCTTTGTGATGTCATGGGAGGTGTGCAGAGGTCCAGTAAAATGCTTCTCATAGCGAAGCTTTTGATTGGACCATTTGAGTGACTCATAGTGCTTGTGGACGCACTGAACTGGCGAAGCAAGGGAGGAGAGAGGGCAGAAAAAAAATTCTCAGGCTGCTTAAGTTACTTGTGCTGGGGGTGTAACTAGCCCCCGGCACCTAAATACAAACCGCTCTCGATGTGGAGTGTTTTAAGCTGAAACACTGCACATCAAAAAGCAAAAGTGGTAATGAGAAGGTTTCTCCAATACTTAAAATTAATAATTCCTCATTGGACATAATTCTTGAAGTCCCCTCTCCTGATCGCTGTAAAAATAATTTGAAAGCAAGTTGTTCTTACCTGGATTGAAACTTCCCACACACCTCCAGGTGTCACATTAGCAGATGTGTGTCCAATAGAAGGGTTCTCATAGAT